ATGCAGAACATAAATTAAAAATAAACCGTAATATGAAATAAAGAGCAATTATGATCTAAAGGATATCAAAATTTCAAAAAAAAAAAGCTTAACATTTATTTATTTACTTTATTAACCTTCTTTCAACGCGCGCATGCCGTAACTACATTACGCATTCGAAATTAAAAATTGCACCAGAAAATAATTTGATTTGTATTCGTGATATTTAATAAGGAGGAATTTAATTTAAATCATATCAAAGACGGATACATCGAATGAAATACTACATTATAAGCTGATAAAATAGAACATCTGCCCTGAAGATAAGGATAGTGCTGACACTCAACTTCCACTTCATGCGCACCGCAAACGTCCCCCCCCCCAGGAGCAGCATGACTGATAACAAAGAACCTTATCCATTTTTTTGCAGCAATTCCAACTTTTGTTTGATGGACATCGAAAATGCTTCCCTCTTATCCACATTGGAAATCTATTTGAGATAATCGAAGTTCCACTTACTTTTATAAATTGCTCTACCAGTCTGCAAAAAATAATAAGCCGGTTCCCATTCGAAGATTAAGGAACAACGCAATCTGCAACATTAACTGAAATAGATAATAAGATAATTTAAGCTTAGCTTATACGGTCCGTTATACATTAAACGCGCATGCGCAAACATATTATGCGCATTCGTACACGCACATGAGTCAACGGATTTGTGTTGACGCATGCGCAGAAAGCTTCTAGCTTTGAGGTCCGGATTATAGATCATTCATGAACTATTTTTGACTGTATTATGTTACCGGGACTGCAAACAGCCAGTAGGACATGAATGAAATATTGCAAGATATTCGATATCTTCCAGTACTTCATACATCCAATAATACCATCAATATAATGATACAAGTAAGTAAAAGCAAAGTCTTCTGAATGAGAGCCATGTAATTCTGTTCACATTTTCGAAGCTATCAGTACAGTTTCCAGAATCCTGTACATGCTTTTTAATGGCTTTACAAGTCTTCCATTTGTTTAATTTTTTTAAAGGGACGTTAAAAAAAACTGAAATAAAATTAAAATTGTCCAGTTAATTGAATGGCAAATACTGCTTTTACTGTACCAACATTTAACCATTTTAGCTGTTGAACCACTTACCAGTGGATCAACTAATTGCATGACTGAAAAATAGTTCAAGAATATGTAATTTTTAATAATCTTTTAGAGAAATGCACATATAAACCTCACAGCTTAAAAGCCAATGTTATATTTTACCTTACTTAATTTGTTCAAACTCTACTATATTTTGTATACTCAGGATTTGGCAATCATATGAACTAATGTGAATAATACATTTTATACTTAATATTTAATTCTGCAATCATTGTTAAGTATAACTAATACTATAACTGAGTTCATATGTCAGCATAATTAAAGCTCATACAGTTACCTGAATGAAGCACAATGTGATTAATACAGAAATAACATTAAAAGCACTAGCATTGTATTTTTACATGTTTCATAATCAACTAAAAAATGCACACTTTACATACCAACAAATATATGCTTAGTAAATTCTGTAATCTGCTAAAAGATTTAGCTTTTTAAAAAAATAGCAGACCAATTTTACATACTCAAATAGCATGGGCCCACCAAAAAATGTTTGTAAATAGGAATGGCATTATAAAAGCCATTTAAAGTAATATCAGAAGCTAATTTGGTAGTTTGTAAATACAGATTTATAAATAGACTCCAGTGTGCACATACATACAATATATTGACCTTAGCATTTGCTGACAATACTATTTTTTAAGATTAAGAACTATCTAAGTTGTTGATAATATTTATATTACAGCAAAAATTCATTTTTAAAGTGCTCTTAATTAATAAAATTTATTATTATTCAAAACGTGCTTCAAATAAGTGACTTATTTGTAGACTGAAGAAATTAATCATATTACAGTTATCTAGAAAATTAAATTACATTTAAATTCATTACATCAATGATGAAAATAACAGCCAAAAATAAGAACTAATATGGAACTCGGAGCTCAGAAACTTGAATAAAAAAAAAGATACCTTTTACAAAATAAAATATTACAGTTCAGATAATAATGATATTGCCTTTGGTATTTATACATATGATTTGCAAATAAAAACCAATATTTTCTTTCAAACACATCAAAAATTAAAAATGCTTTGGCAGTTAGAAGGGAATAAAATGTAGTAAAAATAGGGGATAAAAGGTTTGAGTTACGAGAAGTTTAAACTACCTCAATTCTGTCCTTTAAAATTGTCGCTTGGAGTTAGACTTTTATTTTAATTAATATATCACTGCTGCTGACTTCCAAGTTTCAGAAGCAGATAAAAACAATGCATGGCCTAAAAAAAGGAGATAAATCTAGAAGTTTCTTACTTCAAAATTTTTGGAAGTCTCATGATGCATAATTTTAGACATATTTAACACGTTTTATAACATAACTAATGTGCTGTGAATATCACATTGAAAAATTAAAGGAAAAGAAATATACAAATTAGTTTATGCTACCAATGCTTTTAACATACAGTAAATTCTAGTCATTTTAAAATTCAAAAAGTTGGATTACCATGTGCAATAACCAAAATTATTGAGGAAAATTTCTTACATAATATTTTGCCTTTTCCTAATGTTGTATTACATAACAAGCATTGTAAAAACTGTGAATAAAAATTACATATTAAATTATTACTGAAAGTTTAAAATATTTTCTAATGCAATAGTTAAATTATATGTTTTGACAATACTAACAAAATTTTAGAAAAAGCCATATATCCAGACAAAAAAGAAAATATTTCAGGTGCTTAAAAGTTCTAATGGTAAATTCACAAAATTAGAATATACAGAAAATTGAAATGTTTTGCCATAGTTAACGGTACTGGGCCATTGGAAATTTTGACGGTCTTTTAAATCAAAGTGCACTATCATATAATTATTTGGGGCCCCGAGCGGTAACGTCGCTGAACACTGGTAGTTCGGTCCGAGGTTCGAATCCCGAAAACAGGCTGGCTGCATGGGTGTTTTCGTGGTTTTCCCTGTGTAACGTGTATACAGCCCTTTTTCCCTTAAAAAGTCCTCCACGAAGGCATCCCTCCCTTAAGGCAGATAGCCCTCGAGTGCTTTGCCGTAATCTAATAAACCAAACCAAACTAAACCATATAATTATTTTGCTAGCACTGACAAGCAGTAACATAGATCGAAGCAAATGTGTAAATATCATTTTCTCTATTTATGTTGCATAATTCTAGCAGTGTTGTGACAAAATTTTTATTTCGGTACAGTGTTAAGAATGAAGAACCCAAAAGTTCATTTCTGTCATATTATTCTCATTTGTTTTAAAAAAGGGGAGAAAAAAAATGCTAATCAGATTGCTCATTAAACTTGCGCTGCATATAGGCATGGTTTCTGATGTCACAGTTTGAAGTGGGTTTGAGATGTTCAAGCAGAGAAATTTCAGCTGCAAAGATGATGCTCACTCAGAATGACCATCCTCTGTACACAAGGACTTATTAAAAGAAGCTGTCTCTGAAAATCCATATTATATTATATAGTTCAAGAACTATTAGCCAGACTAAATATCCCCAAAACTATAGCATATCATCTTTTCAAGAAGACTGGGCATGTAAGCCACTATGGTATGATGTATTTGTACTCCATATTTTAACAGTGTAGAATATGCTTGCTTGAATTTTGGCATGTGATTCTTTGCTGAAACAAAATGAAGAAACTGCTCATTACTGGACATGAAAAGTGGATAACATATAAAGATGTTACAAGAAAAAATCAGAGTAGGCCGAATGAAACTCCTTCAGTAATATCAAGAGAGTGGCTGCATTTCAAAAAAGTAATCATTTGCATGCAGTGAGACTACAAAGGAATTATATATTGTTGACACTGACAACTTCATGTGGGCAAAAGTGATTTAAAATGGCAGCATAGTTTTTTACAAAGAGCTAGGGCAAAGACAAGGAGTGTGCGTCATGATCCACTAATTACAAAATAGCTGAAAATATTGCAAAAAATGTAATATCATTCATGCAGGGTGAGCCATTAGAAGTGCTTAAAAATCTGAGTCTGACAGGGGTAACTGCTGTTCATTATGTCAATGAACTTATCCCCAACAATGGCAGGCCTTTAAAAAAAAGCTGTCTCATTTTACATAATTGCAGTACTTTATACAAGAGCACAGACAGAAAAGATACAGCAAAAAAGACTATATTTACACATGGTATTGAAAAACTATGCAACAGAACTACTATGGCTCACAGGTCCAGCACTGGATATTTTGCTGCCTGGTGCAATTTCTGCAAGTCCTATATTTTGTTACCTAGAATTTCACTAAATTCCAAAAATTTTTCGATCCTAAATTTTATTGCCCAATGCTCCCCTAAATTCTATAAAGTTTGTCCTATTCCATCCCTAATTCTAATCCCAACCCTAAGTGCCCTATTTTGCTGTTTGTTACTACGCCAAAGCCTAAAGATTTTCTTGCTTCTAAAGATTCTATAGTGCTGCTATGATAACAGCTGAAACTAAGACAAGATTGCCTACAGTGCAGGATTTATGTATCAGCTACACAAACTACAGCTTAGCCCTCCACTCTCTTGAGGGCCCAAAAAAATTAAACTCCCATATCTCAAACAGCTTAGGGCCTTATCAAATCTAAATCCGGCTGTGACTGCCTATTACCACTGTTTACTCCACTAAGAAAAATGTGCAAGAATTTCTCGGATTTAAGAATGTATGAGTTACTATGATTGTTAGCAACTTTATTATAGCAAAACAGTTAAATCACCATCGATTCTAAAAGTTTCTGACACAAGAATGGACAATAGTCCACAGTGTTGTGGTTTATTACAGTAACTGGTTGAGAAGAGAGAAAGTTATTAAAACAATTTCTGACTAATGGAATGAAATACGAGACAATGTCTCATTGTTTGTTATTTGAGGATGAAAATACATGATAATACACTTATAAAATGAACTTTACCTTTCCGTTCTCATACCAAAGGAGGGCATGGTTCCTAGATAAAACTTTACAATCAAAGATTGCATTGCTAGGTGCAGGTCTACACCTAGCTACAGAACGACCAACTTTAATTGGCTGGTCAAGAAAGAGGTGCCTTTCCTGAAAAGGATGAGAATTAGGTCTAGATGTCAGGATGGCTCTAGGTACCAGATGACATACAGTGGTAGTAGTTTTTCCAGCTTCATTTGTTGTGTCTTCAACTGACTGAGCAGCCGTAGTTCCAGTTAAATTATCCAAATTATTTGACTCTTTACGGTATACAACCATGTAAACTGCAAAGGCTTTAAGCAGCTATGTTTCTTTGTTGAAGCTGGATTTCATTGTAATGCTGTTCATTTTTTTCTATCATTTACGCCATAACAAAATTAAGAAAACCTGAAAAAGGGGTAAAATGTTAATTCTAACAAATAAGTTACAACATTAAAAAAATAATTAAGACACAATAATCAAAGCCATGAAGAACTCTACACTATTTTTATATTTCTGAGCAATTTAAATTTAAAAAGCACAAAAATTGCTACTTCTAGGAATAACAGACAGTTATATATTTTTCCTAAAATGAGAAAAAAAAAAAAAAATTATACATTACTTTAAAAAAATCTTCAATACTTCTTTGTTAAAGCGGCTGTCTTCAGAACTGGCAAATTTGTAATTCCAGAAATAACAATAAGAGTAAACTAGTAATACCAGTAATATATCATATACACTCATGTCCATAAATTAAGGATAATGCAAAATCAGGCAAACGAAGAGTTAGAAGTAAAACAAATTTGACTTATTTGTAAAACTTATTTATTAAGCAAAGAGTAAAGAGCAAAACAAAGATGCTATATGTTTGATATTATTAAAAAATTTAGTGATTTTTTCTCCCTGGAGCAAATTACAAAAAATTTATTTACCAAAAAACAATATTACATGGTTGGTGTTGATTGTTAATGCATTGTATGTCTCCCAGACGATGCAATACAGTCCGTACAACGCCTAGGCATGCTGAGTATCAAATTATCGATCTGATCTTGGGGGATATTACACCACTCAAAAAGCAATGCTCTCCGAAGTTCCAGTAGACATGTAGGAGGAGGTTGACGGGCTGCAACTCGTCGGCCAAGCATGTATCCCACACGTGCTCTACTGGATTCAAGTCCGGTGAGAATGCTGGCCAGTCCATACGGGTGATATCCTCCGATTGAAGGCATTCGCTTACGATGTTTGCACGGTGAGGACGGCGTTGTCATCCATAAACACAAATTGTGCGCCCATGGCGCCCCGAACAAACGTACATGTTGTTCCAGAATGACGTCCCGATAGATTTGGCTTGTCATGGTTCCAATTTGAACATGCAGGTCAGTTCTGGAACCCAGAATAATTCCACCCCAAACGAGCACTCCTGCACCACCGTAACGGTGTAGTCCAATGATGTTTTTCTTGGTGGTAACGGGTACCTGGAGCTCTCCATATGAAAGTCCGGCGAGAATCAGACTGCAAGCTAAACCTGGACTCGTCGGAAAACATCACACAAGCCCACTGTTGCGGTGTCCACAATGCATGCTCTCTACTCCAGGCTAACCGCAGGCGACAGTGAGTTGCAGTAAGTGGAACGCATCTGACAGGTCTACGAGCATATAGACCAATCTGCCCTAAGCGTCTGTACACGGTCTGCCTTGAAATTGTCGTACCAGTGGCTGAAGAGAGCTGACGAGACAGGTCTGAGGCTGTGCTCCGCCTGTTTCTTTTGGCAGTAACTGCCAAATACCGGTCCTCATTCGGCGTTGTAACTCTGGGGCGACCTGTGCTGTAACGTCTACCCACATTACCATCATCTTGGAATCGTTGCCAAAAAGCCTGGAGATGACACTCTGGGCAATTCCAAGTTCGTCTGATACTTCCAGTTGGGTACGCCCACATTCCAGACGGCCGATAATTCTACCACGTAAAAAATCATCCAAATGCGTCCTTTGTGTCATAACTATTCGGTTATTGCACTGAAATGCTTATAAAGCGCCTGCGAACAATTTTACTTCTTTGCCTGTATTTCTTATATATCACTCTCTTACACTTTCGTCATTGTGATGTACCATCGGTGTCATCTGGTTACTTCCTGAAATTTGCATACGATTCTTGAAGATGTGTGTAGTGATTTTACAGATGATATATTTATTTTGGAGTTCGATTTCCACGTGACTCCGAATTATCCTTAATTTATGGACATGAGTGTAATATATAATGTTTAATGAATGCAATACCAAACTTGTGCGATTCTATGATTTTTCTTGAACAGAAACCGCTCACTGTGTACATGGAGAGAAAAACAGTTATGTATCATATAATTCTTATTTAATAATTCAAATTTGTTTTTAACCATTTTTTTTAAATATATCATTAATGTTTGCTGATAAATATTTATGTGATGACTTATGTGGGGCAAGAAAAAAATGGTACTTCTTAATTCCCATGTACACAATAATCAGTTTTCCCTAAAAAAAATATAAGAATTGCACAAATTCAGCCCTGCACATAGCCTTGATATTGCAAACATTAACCCTTTCTGGTATACCCAAAAAATCCCCTCTGTACACACAGAAAAATTGAATGGAAGAGGCTTCATAGGTTACTTTTAACCACCTTATACTAGATAGCAGCACACACACACACACACAAAAAAAAAAAAAAAAAAAAGTCCATACATTTTAGCTTAGTTTTTAAAAACCCTTATTTTTCAAAATCTTCCAGACTTTTTTTAGGATATAAAAGGAATCATTTGAAAAGAAATTTCTATGTTATTTTCTTGATTGTAAGCTGATCTCTTTATTCTATATTTGTTTTAAATTTTTACCTTGAAATCTTGCCTAAAATCGAACGACAAACATTTGGTGTGCCCAGAGTGGGATGACTGAAACACCAGGATCAGACCAACAACTGCAGTATTTTCATCGCTGAACTCATTCACAACACAAAGATGGGTGCACATGTGTCTCATTTGTTTTTCTTTCTTTCTTTTTTCCCCCTTAAAGTTGATGTTTGGTTATTAACTAAGAAACTGTTAGGGTGTTTTTCTGAAGGTCAGGGGTAATTTTATCAGTTAGCTCAATGTTTTGATAGTTTTGACTTAAAGATGTTTATTTAATTTTATAGTTTAAATTTTCTTAATTGTAGATATAAGTTTTTCTTTTTTCTTCTGATTTTTAATTATTTTGCAAATGGATTAGAGAAGCTGACCATTCCTGAAGCAGTGAAAGTGCTAAATGAATTGCCTTCAGATAATGAATCAGATACGGATCCTGGTACATGTGCAAAACATGCAGCGCTGTGTTTTGCTCTTTAAAAGGTGGTGTCACTTGTTTTGAAAAGTACTAGCGTGGAAAAAAAAAAAAAAAATAGACGCAAGTGTAAATATGAAATGCAAATAATGTAAATACAGTCAAAAGTCGTTAATTCGGACACCCATAATCTGGAATGATCTATAATCCGAGCCTCAAAGCTACAAACTTTCTGCGCATGTGTCGCGTTCACGCATGCGCACAGGCGTTTACGCGAGCGCGTAAGACCTTTACGGCTGCGAATATGTTTGTGCGCATGCGCGTTTAATGTATAACGGAGGTATAAGCTAAGCTAAAATTATCTAATTCAGTTAATGTTGCAGATTGCGTTGTTCCTTAATCTTCGAATTGGATCCGGCTTATTATTTTTTGCAGACTGTTAGAGCAATTTTATAAAAGTAAGCTTGAACTTTCGATTATGTCGAATTATATTTTACTAATATGTAAGGATCTACAAAGCGAAAGTATGTTTTGAAATCCGAAATCTGTTTATCAATTTCATGCCGCGGATTGGAAGTTGATCTGTCAGCACTATCCTTATCTTCAGGGCAGATGTTTTTATTTTATTTGGCTTATAATTCCTTACTAATGTAGTATTTCATCTCGATGTACTCCGTCTTTGATATGATTTAAATCAAGTTCCTTGTCATTATAATTTTCGCTTCCGATAGTGAAGAAAGTGACCCAGAGGTTATTGAAAACGAAACATTTCGATTGACAAATTAGTCGGTATTCTCGCACACAGCAATTATAGGACTTGAACAGCGGAACTTTGTAACTAAACAAGAAATTATGTCTGTTTAATAGAATTAAAGAGAAAGTATTATCACATGAAACGAAGCAACTTAAACAACTTACATTGAAAGAAATGTTTAATAAAGTAAACAAATAAATATTAAGCTTTTCTTTTTGTAAATTTTGATACCCTTTAGATCATAATTGTTCTTTATTTCATAAATTACGGTTTCATATTTTTAATTTTATAATTTCTGCATGCCATCTTACCAGATTTAAATTGATGATCTACAATCCGGAAAAATCGATAATCCAGAATCGCCGAAGTCCTGGCGAATCCAGATTAACGACTTTTGACTGTATCATATAGCCAAGTTAATTTTTCCATTCATTCAAATCATTATATAACCAAGAAGAGATTTTTTGGGGGTTGTAGTGTAGAACGTTTCTCTGTAGTGCACCCTGGATAATGCTCAACATAAGGGTAATCAGAATCTAATGTTTTTTAATCAGAGGCAAGTTTTATTCTCTATTGCGTGCTTCCCAGAAATGCTCGCTTAAGCACTCTTTTCGAAGCTCTATTCATTCAGTGAGCCCACTTTGCGCATAATTAAAACGGCAAGTGCCACCCACAAAATTTACAAAATGTTACCTGTGCACTTCTCTAGGCCTGATTAAACTTCCTAACTTTTTTCTAGGCCTGATTAGACTTCCTAACTTTTTTTTTGAAATTCTAACTTTAAGAGGTAGTGTGCCAGAAAGGGTTAAACAGTACACATATTATACAACTACAGTTTTCACTTTTTTGGAAATCTGGCACAGTATTTCTAGTTTAAGACAAAACACTTGCAGTGGCCCCTTCTTTTTGTTCTTGAAATTAAAAATGATTATCTTAAACCCAAACAATAAGTTTTAGAACAGAAAACATACTTTTTATGAGACCAATCCAGATAAGTGAACAAGATAAAAATAGAGGGGGGGGAAAAAAAAAAGCCGGTTCTTTTTTATTAATGCAGTGTTAGCCATAATCATGCATCAAAGTGCTAAATGTGATAACCTGTTTATAGAAAGTGTTTGTGATAACCTATATAAATAGGGATCTGTGTGTGGCAGCTTCCGGCATACATTCTGATGCATAAATTAAATTTGCTCATTATTTTATGTAATTTCTGTAATACTTTGTGATCATTAGTAATTTTAAAGATTAAAAAAAAAATTAAATGTTTTCTTGTTTGTTTTCAATTATTTGTATTTCATTTTTGTAAAAAATAAAACAATCCAAATTTGATATTTTTTTATAAGATTATGAGCCCTTTGTTAAAG